TCTGTCATCATTTTCAGCATGAGTGATTGGCTACTACAGGGAAGTAACATAGTAAGAAAGGATAGGACACTGTTCTTCGGTTGCTTGCCTTTTTTTCTGTGTTCAAAACAATCTTGGTTCAAACAGCAGGGGTAGCCTCTCGGGGCTGTCAGCTCCCTGCTTAGTGGACTATTCACTCGTAGCTGTCATATGCTTACCTTGTTCTGTCTCTGAGTCCCCCTGAGTGCCGCTCCCCCATCCCCACATCGTGGGTCCACCATAATGCAGTGCTTGTGGTGCATCCTGAACACTAGATATGAAGAGAGAGCAGGAACGGGGAGGCATGCCTATTACACCAATCTCCACTGCTCAGAACACGCTCCATTGTCCCATCAGCCTTCCTTTACAAAACCCAGGTTCAAAGATAAAATTATTAAGAATTTCAACATGGTGGCAGCAGAGATTTCAACCAAGCTCAGGGCCCTCTTGAGTACATGGCCCCCATGTGCCTCTCAGGTCACACACCCATGAAACTGGCTCTACCCCATTGCCTCTACTCTGGCCACACTGGTCTCTGCAGTCCCATGTCCCTTCCTTCTGAAGGGCACTACAGTGTGCTGCCCCCTCTGCCTGAAACTCAGTCCCCTCCCTTGTGACCTGGGTGCCTCCCTGTTTCTCTTCCTGTGATCTCAGCTGAGCCATCACATCCTTAGCTTAGACCTCCCGGCCTGACCTGCCCAGGTCAGAAGTCTCTTAGCACCAAGAAGCCCTCCTTCAATGCGTGTATCACCATCGCCATCCTTCATAAAGGTAGGTGATTATCTGATTCCTTATTTCCCTCCCACACGTGACTGCCAGCAGCTTATAAGCCAGGGTTTTGTTCATCACTGTTTTGCCAGTGCTGGGTGCACAGTCCCTAATAAATATGAGGTGAGTGAATGGATGAATAAACGAATGAATGTTTTTGCAACCAGAACACACAGGTCAGATGAAGAGGTGGGATAAATGAGTGTGGCATGAATTCTAGTTTTTGTTTAAAGGTGGCTAAGTCCCATCTCAGTCTGAGCTGGTGCAAACTAAGTGAGCATGGTACCGCCCTTGTGAACTTCACTGTCTCTTCCAGGAGGTAATGAGGACTTGAGGATCGGGTGTCTTTATCCCTTAAGGTATACAAGTCATTTTTTATGTGTCTCCAGCCCCAGCATGGTGCCTTGCACTTACTTACTCCATCCTCAAAAAATTCTGGTTCTATTGAGCTGAATTGAGCTGAATTTAGTTCGATGAAAATATGTTGCCCTGAGGTTTACTTTTTCTTACCTTCCCCTTGTGTCTGCATTTCCCCCTCCTCCTTTGCCTTTTCCTCCTTCCCCTCCTTCCTTCTTGTTCAGGATTTCTGAGCCTTGAGAACTACTTTAGGTGTGATCAAATATCTCCAACAGAAAATTACCCTCATTTATATTTAGTTTAATTGGACTCTTCAAAGAGAAATGGTCTGGTCTGATGGGTCTTAGAATCATGGCTGTAGTCGGGCACTCCAGAGAACACCCCAGAACCAGTCTGGGCTCATTCGCTGCTAATATTCCCACATTGGCATTGTTCTTGGGATAGAATCTCAAGGCAGGCATGTCAGAAGTCCATCCCTTCAACCCCAGCCAATTCAGAGCAGAAATGAAACTTGAGGATGCCATGTAACCTGTTCTCCTGCCCTGAAGGCTGCAGAGCTAGCCTTGTCCCAGAGGCAGTACTGGCCTGAGCAACAGCGATGGAATGGGAACCAGCCTTCTTGTTAGAGCCTGGCCCACAAGCTGTCTGTCTTGTCCATTATTCCACAACTACATTTGAGAAATGGCCAGGAGGGAATGTAGTGAAAGTGGAGTGTTCATAATGAAATTGAGGATCGACGAAATAATAAAAAACAAAAGCCTAAAGGTAAAACTGGTATTGACTGACCATCTCAGAAAACATTGTCAGTAAGAGATCGGGGCACCTTCCTATATGTAAAATGGGGTGGGGACTTCCTCTCCTGAGTGAGCCTTGAGTGGGAATGTAGAATGTTACTGGAAGCAGTTCCCTCGGCGGTCCCCTTAGAAGTAATGGGGCTGCTTGGAGACGGCTCGGTGGGGCAGAGAGGGCGTGGAGTTACAACTCAGCTATACTTGGGGTTTAAACCAACTTTCGCTCTGTGACCTTGAGCAAGTAATAACTCCTTTGATCTTTTTTGCTGTTGTTGTTAATTTGTACAGATTGGTATAAAACATATGCCTTGCAGGGTTGTTGTGACGATTAAACCAGATCACCTGAGCGGAGGTACAAAGCTCGATGCCTGACACACAGCAGGCATGCAGCCGCGTTACCCCTTCTCCTCACGGTGCCTGTGCTTTGTGGGCAGATGCCTAGTCACCCTGAGCCTGAGGCCCCCCTTAAACTCTAGACTGTAGGCACCTCATCCTGGTCGCAGCAGTGTAGCTGGGGCAATGTCAGACCAGGCTTGGGGCATGTCAGGTAGATGTTCTCCCTGCGACATTATCTCCTGGGCCCTTTTACAGGTGACACAGTTGAAACCCAGAGTCACTATAATTTGACTAAATCAACAAGTCAGTAGTGAACCTGGAAAGTGACTCAGGCCCCTGGGCTCAAGCCTGTGTTTTACTCCCCAGCAGCCTATAGCTGGACACCTTGCTGCCCGTGTCATGTGACACTCACATACCCCTTTGCACTATGAAGGGTCATTCTGGACATCTGCACATCATCTCCCCAACAAGCCTGTAAGCTCCCTCAACACAGGAAGAGAACGTGTCTCAAATCTTCAGTGCTTTCCAGGACACTTACTACAGGGCTTACAGTCAGGGTTCAAGAAACAAATATCCATCAACTGAGATAAAGAAGATATTTTCGTGGTCTTGTTTTAACGCTGAGAAATAGCTATAATACACATGAACCCAGCTGACGGAAAGAAATGTATTCATTTCACAACATGGTCAGCTCTTTAAGAAGTTGGCTTTTCAGGCTCCACAGGGATTCTGGAACTCACATAAACTCACCCCCGCTGTTTGGAGAGAACATGGCAACTCCAAGTGGTGTCCCTGTCCCCACAGGGAAGTGGTAGGTGAGAGACGTGAAGGAGGGGGGGAGGGGAGAAGGGGGAGGGGGCTACAGCAACGCGGGGCGCTTAAACCAAGAGTAAAGGACAGAGCCAAGCAATGCTGCTCCCATTTACTGAGCAAACAGATCACCTGAGGACCCTCATTAAGTTACCAGATGCAAACTATTATATATAGGCTGGGCAAACAACAAGGTCCTACTATATAGCACAGGGAACTATATCCAATATCCTGTGATAAACTACACAGAAAAGAATATAAGGGCTTCCCTGGTGGCGCAGTGGTTGACGGTCCGCCTGCCGATGCAGGGGACATGGGTTCGTGCCCCGGTCCGGGAAGATCCCACATGCCGCGGAGCGGCTGGGCCCGTGAGCCATGGCCTCTGAGCCTGCGCATCTGGAGCATGTGCTCCGCGACAGGAGAGGCCACAAAAGTGAGAGGCCCGCATACCGCAAAAAAAAATAAATTAATAATAATAATATATATATTTTTTTCCATTATATATATTCTTTCCATTTTATATATATATAATCGAATCACTTTGCTGTACAGCAAAAATTAACACAATATTGTAAATCAACTGTACTTCAAAAAAAAAAAGACATCATGGACACACCAGAAAAAAAAAAAAAAAGATGCATATACTGACTCAGGAGGTCCAGGTGGGACCTGGGAGTCTGTATTGCTAACAAGCTCCCCAGGGATGCCCAGGCTGCTGCCTCACAGAGCACACTTTGAAGAATCAAGGATGTTGTCACAAAACAAAAGACACTGAAAGCTTTGGCCTTTTTTTTTTTTAACATCTTTATTGGGGTATAATTGCTTTACAGTGGTGTGTTAGTTTCTGCTTTATAACAAAGTGAATCAGTTATACATATACATATGTTCCCATATCTCTTCCCGATTGCGTCTCCCTCTCTCCCACCCTCCCTATCCCACCCCTCCAGGCGGTCACAAAGCACCGAGCCAGTATCCCTGTGCCATGCGGCTGCTTCCCACTGGCTATCTACCTTACGTTTGTTAGTATATATATGTCCATGTCTCTCTCTCGCTCTATCACAGCTCACCCTTCCCCCTCCCCATATCCTCAAGTCCGTTCTCCAGGAACGGACCTGTTTTACCCCTAGGTTCTTCATAATATTTTTTTTCTTAAATTCCATATATATGTGTTAGCATACGGTATTTGTCTTTCTCTTTCTGACTTACTTCACTCTGTATGACAGACTCTAGGTCTATCCACCTCATTACAAATAGCTCAATTTCGTTTCTTTTTATGGCTGAGTAATATTCCATTGTATATATGTGCCACATCTTCTTTATCCATTTTCTCCTTTCCTCTGCAGTCATTTGTCTTTTGACCACGGGCAAGTTCCTTAATCTCATACTGGGCAGAGGACAAGCAAGAAACCTCCTGGGAAAAGTGGCAAACTGAGATATCAGCCAGCTCCCCTGCTTGATGAGCACCCACACACCCCACTTTTTCTGCCGGGTACACCGGATGGGGCACATTTCAGTTTTACCACCCAGGACATGAACGTGTTGGTCTGAGTCTCTAAAAGCCGCTTCCTTTTTTTTTTTTTTTTTTTTTGTGGTACGCGGGCCTCTCACTGTTGCGGCCTCTCCCGTTGCGGAGCACAGGCTCCGGACACACAGGCTCAGCGGCCATCGCTCACGGGCCCAGCTGCTCCGCGGCATGTGGGATCTGCCCGGACCGGGGCACGAACCAGCATCCCCTGCATCGGCAGGAGGACTCTCAACCACTGCGCCACCAGGGTAGCCCAAAGGCTGCTTCTGCATTGACAATTATCTGTGTGGAGGAAATGGTCTGGTTTTGGGTTTGCAAATCTGGTCCAGTTGAAGCTCTGTGTTCAGTGTGGCCGTTCTCAGGATCCCCGCTCTCTGCCTTCCATCCTCCTGCAGGGGAAATCTGTGCATTCAAGATCCATGGCCAGGAGCTGCCCTTCGAGGCTGTGGTGCTCAACAAGACATCAGGAGAGGGCCGGCTCCGCGCCAGGAGCCCCATCGACTGTGAACTGCAGAAGGAGTACACGTTCATCATCCAGGCCTACGACTGTGGCACGGGGCCCCAGGAGACGGCCTGGAAGAAATCGCACAAGTGAGTGACCTGATGGAGCTCCCTGGACCCCTCCCACCCCTGCCCGCCCATCTCCATTCACACGCTGCTCTTCAGATATGCATGTGCAGTGGTCACACCGTGCTGCTCCGGCCTGCCCGACTGCTGGGCAGTTCCCCAGGCCCCTACAGGCATCAGCGCGGGCCTCCTTCTACCCCTAGAATACTCCACCCCTCTGCTCCCCATGAAGATACTCCTATTTTACCATCAGGACTGAGTTCAGATGTCACTTCCTCTGGGAAGCCTTCTGTCAGCCATCCCATCCCTGCAGACCTCGTTGGGACGTTTCCCTGGATTTCTGCCAGGCCATGTGCTTCTCTCCATCACAGCACTTTTCATCTGGGGTTGTAACTCTTAAATAGAGTTTAGCTCAGCCCCTAACCCAGAGTAAGAGTGGTTCAATTCTTACTGGATGGAGTGAATGAATAGCTGAGGGAATGGGGAGATAGAGGAAATGTGTTGCCTAAAGCTCTGTAACTAGGAAGGTCAGAGAAGGGGAGGCACCTCTCTGGGGTGGATTCATCTCAAAGGATCGGACCAAGGACAGGTAAAGGGGTCTCAATGGGAGGGAGGACAGAACACTCAGACAAGAGCCACCCCAACTGTCTTGTGGTTTCTCTACTCTCCTGACCTTGGGACCTGAGTTAGTACCTGTGGGAGGTGTGGGAGGATGGTGTGATTCTTTCTTTACCACCATCTCTTCCTTCCTGTGTGTGGTCCTAGGGCCGTGGTCCATATCCAGGTGAAGGACGTCAATGAGTTTGCTCCCACCTTCAAAGAGCCGGCCTACAAGGCTGTCGTGACAGAGGGCAAGATGTACGACAGCATCCTGCAGGTGGAGGCTGTCGACGAGGACTGCTCCCCACAGTACAGCCAGATTTGCAACTATGAAATCGTCACAACTGATGTGCCTTTTGCCATCGACAGAAACGGTGAGTGTCCTGAGAGGACCCCGGTGAATGCAAGCAGGGAAACAGCTCCACCCCCCACCCCTTTGAAGGCCAAGTGAGGGCTCTGAATGCACTTGGCAGGTGACGCCTCCTTTGCTATCCCTGATGCAGGCTCTGTAACCCAGAATTCAGCCCTGCGCTAGAAGGGATGACCTTACGTAATCAGCAGCCCGGCCAGGTCTAAAACACCCCAGAAACCTCCTCAGTGAATAGTCTATAGAACTCACAATGCCACACATTTGGATACTGAAGACAGATTGGTTTTCTGGTAGAATTTTCCTGCCGTCACCCAGATGTGAGCCATGCCATCAACTCAGCCACATCTGAGTTTCCTGTATAACAAGTGTAACGTTAGCCACACCACAACAATCTGCTCCCAGACAGAGAGAAGCTAAAAGAGAAGGCGGAGATTTTGGAAACACCGTCCAAGCTATAGACCCATTCAGGAATCTTTAAAGCTCTTGCCAAGGGTTTTTGAGAACTTCCACCCCAGTGAGAATGAGGAATGAAAGACCCCTCCCACCACACTCCAATCTCAAACTAAACTTACTGAACTGAAAAGAATCCTAGAAAGCCATTTGGATATTTCCCCATCACCATTATTAAAAAACTCATCGCAGTGTAAACACCACAACCAGAGGCCCAATCAACTCAGCCCACTTTAACTGTAATTCTCAATAACTTGATATTAATCAAGTATATTGTTTCATTATTAGCATGAGTGTGTGGGTGTACGTACATTATCCTCACTTTGTTTCAAATAGGATTTAACTGCTCAATGATGGGAAAGTTGCAAAACCTGAGACTCATCCACGCCACAAATGTTTATTAAGTGCTGAGCACAGTGCTGAGAACTGGGAATAGAGATGGACGGGAAGTCAAAACAGAAGTGGGCCTGCCCACGTGGAGCTTACCATCTAGAAAAAATAAAAATAAAAATAAAAAATAGAAAGTCAGGCAGAGTCAAGGGTGAGGGTGGTGCACAAAGCGTGCCGTGAACCAGGGTTAGGCAGCGAATTAGCCCTCAGCCTCCTGGTAGCCAATGCCTAGAGGGAAATACCATTAGTCACCTGCTTGCAAATCTTCAGTGCTTCCCGTGTTTCTTGATGTTGAGACCAGGGAGAAACTTACCCTGTGACAGAGCCTTCTGCATCCTGAGAATTGCAGCAGATTCTGTAGGGCATGGAGGCCAAGGAGACACCCTCATCCTTGGTCTCCTGGAGTTTATGATCCATCTCAGAAGATGAAACCAACATTCATCAAACAGACAAAATGGTAATAAGGAAGTTTCCTTAAAAGATGCTCAAACACGTGGCCAGTGTCAGTTATACACCTGGACATCACTAGATGCTAAGTGTGTAGGACACAAGATCAACGCATGAGAAAGCAAAGGAGAAAATACTGGACTTTAGAGTTTGGTTCAGGACTAAGAAGCAGGTAATTTCCATTAGAAGAATTGCTCCTGATAGCTTTTCCCACAGGCCTTATGAAGTGGCTGGCCTGTACCCACCAACACAGACATACATGACACACGCACACACGTACACACACACACACGCCACTCTACAAAATATGAAACAACTGCTTTGTATGTTTCGGGTCCCCTGTGATCAGCTGTGCTGTCTATGTCCACAAGAGCTGTGGAACTTGGGGAGTGACAAGTCCTTGCTGAAGAGCTAGACTGGACATGGGGGAGGGTATCTGGAACAAGTGGTCAAGCTGCCCTGGGCCTCCTGCTTAGTTCTGGAGAGTCACGACCCGGGAGAGAGGAGATGCAAATTCTTTCACCTGAGGGTAAACTGCCCCAGTCATGAAGATAATTACTCACCTTGATGAGCCATTTCACTAACATATGCCAATTTATTTACCTAGCTGTCTCATTAAAAGTGAGTAATGGTCCTTTGCCAGGCCTTTGCCTCCAGCTTTGGTTTACAGCCTGAGATGAAGAGGAAAGCTGGCACTCTGGGAGCTGTGCCCCCCCACCCACCCACCCCACCCATGGCGAGGTTTACAAAAGCATTTCTCAAGTAATGAAGGCAGGACCTAAGGGCAGGCTCAGAAGCAGCTCCCATTCTAATGAGCTTCCCAGTTGGCCATTATCCATCACTTCTCCCAGTGACCTTCCCAGCTCCTTGAAGAACTTCTTTGCATGCACATTCGAAGAAGTACTGCTGGGCTTCCCTGGTGGCGCAGTGGTTAAGAATCCACCTGCCAATGCAGGCGACACGCTTCCAGCCCTGGCCCGGGAAGATTCCACATGCCGCAGAGCAACTAAGCCCGGCGCACCACAACTACTGAGCCCACGCGCCACAACTTCTGAAGCCCGCACCCCTAGAGCCTGTGCTCCGCAACAAGAGAAGCCACCGCAATGAGAAGCCCGCGCACCACAACAAAGAGTAGCCCCGGCTCACCGCACCTAGAGAAAGCCCGTGTGCATCAACGAAGACCCAACGCAGCCAAAAATAAATAAATAAAATAAAATAAATTAATTTAAAAAGAAAGAGTACTGTTGAGTTGGGCTCCACTCATTCAGGCCCCAGGACATTTTCTTTTAACGCAAGATTCAACCTCTTCCAACCAGAAGTCTTCGGCCCCCTTTCCTTGAATTCCTCCCCTGAAAAATCATGGCAGTAACAGTCCCTGCCCCACTGTGGGGTAGTGAGGCCTCAGGGAGAGGCAGTGCCTGGAGATGATGTTCACAGGTACTTAGCATATAGTGTTCCATTCATGGTGCCATGATTATTAGATATTTCCCTGGGTGACTGGGACATGAAGGGTGTTCATTCCCCATGGATTTACAGACTGAAAGTATGAGCCAATAACTGAGTTGGTGGCATTACCTCCCTCTTGGGAAATTCTGGATCCATTTCAGAAGGCTTCCAGCCCCCCATCTTCTAGCATCTGGCTGGTCTCTCTGAGATTGGGAGGGCCTCCTTCCTCACTTCCATTGAACTGATGGAAAAACTGATTCCTAAAGCATGAAGAGCTGGCCATATAGCAGCTGTCACCTCAGTGGCAGAGTGGGGACTGGAGCCAGGTCCCCCGAGTGTTGGTCCCAAAGCCTTTTCACCAGTGATATTATCACTGTCTTCAGTGACATTTGACAGGAACACATGGCAGTGGCATTTAAGTTCAAAAATACAAAGATATGTCTTAATCCTACGCCTACCACTCTGTGTATGTGTGTGTGTGAGAGAGAGAGAGAGGTCCTTGACAAGCTACTTAAACCTGGCCTCAGATCCTCATTGTAACATGAGAATTAAGTACTGCACTCAGCCAGGGATGGGAATGATGGCTAAGAGAGCATCAGGGCTCTCGGTGACACCTGGTCTCCACTTGGCAGACTTTTCTACCTTCCAAGCAGTGGTTGGTCTCATTCAGCCTCTGCTGAGCCCTCCACAGGCTGCCCTGGTGAGTAACAGGCATTGGACACCTATGATCACAGTGTGTCCTCAAGTCTGTTTGTTCTCCAAGTACATGAACACACTTGTCTTCCACCTGAATAGAAGAGAAACGCACGTCCTTTGTGGAAAACAAGGGAAGCATAGAAAAGTATAAAGAAGTAAGTCACCTGTAATCCCACCAAAGAGAACCACTACTGGCATTTTACCAGCACTTTTTCTATGAAGTTCTTGAACAAAATAAGGCCACGCTTTCCTTGCTTTTCTTTATCTTCCCCTTTTCACTTAACATTCAATTGTGTGGATTTTTTCCATCCATAAACATGCTTCGTAATTAGCACTTTTAGCACGAACAGCAGTCCGTCTGAGCAGAGAATCAGGCTTAGCTTGTCTCTTACTATTGGGCCTCCAGTTTCTTTACTCTTTTTCAGTGTAATAAATAATGCTTAGATGAACATATTTGCACCTTTGTCTGCAATTTTTATCATTATTTCTGGAGTCAGTTGTTAGACGTGGAATTGCATGGCCAAAAGGTATGAACACTTGCAAAGTGACTGGCCTGCATAAGTTTCCTACAGGGTGACTCCGATTTAAATTCCATCAGAAGGAAGGTGCAGGTAAGTGCGCCTGTCTCATTGCAACCCCTACTCCACCTGAGCGTTTAAAAAATACCTTCACTATGACCCGTGGTAGGTACGGATAGAGTTCTTTGAGAGTTAACCTTCCCAAGTTCATCTGGAACAGAGAAATAAGCCCAGAGATCAGTACTCACCTGGGTTAACTGTGGACTCAGTTCTCCTGAGAAGGCACCACTAGGAGAAATCATTCACCTGTGGGGAAAATAATACAATTGTCACAGAAGCAAAAAGGAGGGCTGTTTCTGATCTTTCAAAATGTTTTTAAATGTGTGACTTAGCCAAACACGACCCTTCCCTCTACAACCATCAGTGAAAATATTATACTCTGATGCTTCAAATCCTGTGCTCTGAAACCCATTCTCCCATGCGTGAAGTCAGTGGGGGTGGAGAAAGTAAAGTAGTTTCTCAGTTTCATTAAGACTTCTTACAGAAGGGGAGCTGCCGTAAATTGAGCCAAGGATTGCGGGCTCGTGTGTTTATTTTTATTTTTCTACCGCAATCGATAGTGTTTGGTCTGCTGAATGTCACACGGACAGTAAACCCTGAGCCTTCCTCTTCTACGAGGTGTATCTTTTGAGAGCCATTTAACTTTAAAGAGAGTTAAAACCTTTTGTTCAATTAGATGTTGCTGAAACATACTTCTCGTGGTCCTATTGCAGTGTTTCCACCTGGCAGAAGTCCTCCCCTGTGATGGCTCTAACCACGAACTAATTTATTAACAGAAGCCACAGGGAATGTTACCAACCCCACAGTGAGCTGTTGCAGATGTGCTTGGGGCCCCGAGCTGAGACCGAAACAAATAGTTGGAGAAAGAGGAAAGGGATTCTGAACATCCGCCACAAGGCCGAAGATACAGCAAACACATTCTTATTCAGAGATTCTTGACTGGCTTCGTTAAAGGAAACTTGACTTGCAATCACTGGCTGCAGTTGCATTTTTAGAAACAGTCCAGAGCAGATAGCAGAAGAAATGATTCCAATTCTTGGTCCAATGTCTTGGGCAACTTCGTACCCTCTGACCCTCCACACCCTTACATATGCTCACATTCGTAGCACCTGCTCATGACCTCGTCTTTACTACTATTGAGTGATGGGTGGATGAATTTTTCCTATCTTTAACACATGATGTGGCTTTTCTAATTTTCCGAGGTTTCTTGGGTTAGTCCCTGTTGTCTCAATTTGCATGAACAATATACATCAGTTGGAATGGAAGAAAGCTCATTAAAAAGTTTCCCCTTAGTTTTGATGAAACATAAAAATATACCTGAGTCACACAGACATAGAGAACAGACTTGTGGTTGCCAAGGGGGTTGTTTGGGATTAGCAGATGCAAACTAGTATTACATAGGATGGATGAACAAGGTCCTACAATATAGCACAGGGAAGTATATTCAATATCCTGTGATAAATCATAATGGAAAAGAATATGAAAAAGAATGTATATATGTGTATAAATGAATCACTTTGCTGTACAGCAGAAATTAACACAGCATTGTAAATCAACTAGACTTCAATAAATTTTTTTTTAATTTTAACAAAGGTGCACAAAAATGAAATATATATACCTGAGTCAGCCATTCCATGTTTGTGTATTTGCTTGTTGGTTTATTTGGCTTTTTTTTGTTTTTTTAACATCGTTATTGGAGTATAATTGCTTTACAATGGTGTGTTAGTTTCTGCTTTATAACAAAGTGAATCAACTATACATATACATATGTTCCCGTATCTCTTCCCTCTTGCGTCTCCCTCTCACCCTCCCTATCCCACCCCTCTAGGTGGTCACAAAGCATCGAGCTGATCTCCCTGTGCTATGCGGCTGCTTCCCACTAGGTATCATCGGTTTTACATTTAGTAGTGTGTATATGTCCATGCCACTCTCTTGATTTCGCTTCTGGCAAAGGATGATGATATCATTTGAATTCTAATTTGCTGTCAGCTCCACCATTGAAAAAAAAAAAAAAGCCAGAATGAAATTATTCTCAACAAAGGGAGACTTTAAGCTCTGGGAATCAAAAAGTAAAAAGTAGGGCTTCCCAGGTGATGCAGTGGTTGAGAGTCCGCCTGCTGATGCAGGGGACACGGGTTCGTGCCCCGGTCCGGGAAGATCCCACGTGCCGCGGAGCGGCTGGGCCCGTGAGCCATGGCCGCTGAGCCTGTGCGTCCGGAGCCTGTGCTCCACAACGGGAGAGGCCACAACAGTGAGAGGCCTGCGTACCGCAAAAAAAAAAGTAAGAAGTATTAAATGCACGTCAGGCCTTGATTCATTTTTTGAAACCAAAATTGTATTTCAGCAAAAATAGTCAATTAAAAGTTTGCTCATCAATCGTCAAATATTTATTTCTGAACCATAATATCAAACCCACAGGAACAAATACACACAAATGGCTCAGAAACAATGTCTGGTCTCTCTTGGAGGAGAAAAATGTCTTTGCCACCAGGGCAAGGAATCTGTTATTCTGTGTAGCTTTCAGAAGAGAGGTCACACGTTTTCTCGTATTGATTTTACTTCCTATTTGGTAGCAAAATAATGTGAGACGAGGCAATGAACATTCCTGTCGAAGAGCCCAGATGTTAAAAAATACGTGTCGGGACGTTTCTGAATTCCATCTTTTTCCCAGAGATTTCATGTCAGATGAGCGTACGTTGCCCTACGTTAGGGGCACAGCCTAATGTAGGGTTAGTTTTGTGTAGTTTAGGGTGGTCTTCTGACGACCCCGTACTTAACACAACCAGTTGGACTCCAGATGTGTGTGCAGAATTACCCGGCAGTTCCGTTGCACAGCTGGGGTGGCTCCAGCCAGCGGTTCCTGAGAATCTGCCACCAAGGCACAAGCAGGCCACATGTGGAAGCCACATCCCTACTTGCCCTATAGTCTTTACAAAGAGATAGGGAAAGGGGACATTTTATTCTGGTGAAGGTTGAAAGAGGGCAGAAGGGATTTTGAAGAACTGCAACGTGGTTAACTTGACCTGAAATGATTTTCAATGTCCCTGTATCTTCAGGCAACGTCAGGAACACAGAGAAGCTGAGCTATGACAAGCAACGCCAGTATGAGATCCTGGTGACCGCCTACGACTGTGGACAGAAGCCTGCAGCGCAGGACACCCTGGTGCAGGTGGACGTAAAGCCAGTTTGCAAGCCTGGCTGGCAAGGTGGGCCTGCTCTTGTCAGTACTGTTGGGTGAAGGCAGCTTGGCCATGTGTATAGGAGGTGCTGGACTTGCCCTCCAATCATCACAATACATCACTAGAGGAATTTGTAAAGCACAGGCACTGTGCTGTGAGAAATAGAGTAGCCTGTTTGTTCTTACAACTCCTGGGCGATATAGTAGCCCCATTTTACAGCTGAGAATGTCCAAAGCAACTCATCCAACTCGTGTGCCCAGTTTGTCCAGTGTGCCCTTTCTCAAGTCTCATGACATCTTCCTATCAATAGGAATTATCCCACAGTGCTCAGGAGAAAGGGCCAATTCACTTTACCTAAGGGTTGGAGTTCAGCTGGTGCATTGCAAGTTTTGATAATTGCTCAGGACCTGGGGAAGGTTGTGTGTTCCTTGGGCTTGCACAGAGGGCGTACAGGCAGAGGCTGGAGATCCAGAATCCAGCCTCTGTGTTAAGGGGTTTCTAAAGTGTTGGCTCTGGTAATGGAGAAGCAATGGCCGTCGGTGGAGGTGGATATCTGTGCTAGTTTAGATCTTTTAGGATGCAAAAACAGAAGGTTCAGGTTACCCTTTGAGGATGCAGGTGTAGCAATGAACTAAGGGGAAATAAGGATGGGAAGGCCAGCTGCAGAGATGGAGCTCGCAGAGGATTGGAATAACAAGAGCTCTTGTGGTGGCACCAATAGTTCTGGTGGCCGAGCAGGGATGCTGGAGTTATCTCTGTGCCACCATTTTGGTTGTTGATGCTGTCGCAGGGTTCTGCTTACACATAACTTAGGGTGCTCCATGGTTTCCTCCACTTTGTGCCTCTGTCTGCTGCCTTCCCTTCATAGGTCTTAAAAGCTTCAGGGCCCCTGTTACATTCTACCTCTTTCTCTATCTCTATCTCTCTGTATCTTTCATTCTTAACTCCCCAAGAGAGGGTGCAATTAGCTGTGTTGGTCATTCATGTCCCTATGGGACAGGCTGATGCCAGACCACATATCGGTCACTGGTCAGACCTTGAATGGCTGCCTTTTAGTCAGGCATTTATTCCTAATCCATTTCAGCAGGCCAGACTGGCAGGACCTCACGGTGCAAAGCAAGGACACCTGAGGACCCACCTGGGTCATTGCCCTCAGATCGTCCCCTGCACAACTTTATCTTCCTTAATCTTGCAACTAGAAAGATGGGAGGGGGTGATTAAATCCACCTCTGGAGAGAACCGGAATCATTTGCCTTTGAACAAAGTAGACAAGGTGAAATGCTGAGTAGGAGAGACACAGCTAAGACGTGTGAGAGGTAAAGAACAAAGGAGAGTCTTCTCTGTGTCTATTTCAAGCAAGAGACAGAGAAAAAGGAACAAGCCAGAGTGGGAATCTGTGTGTCCCTGACCTCAGGGGGCCTGAACTCTGGTTGAGTGTAATTCACTAGACCCTAAGGACCCTGAGGGCAGGAGTCTGTCTCTCTTGTTCACAGTGGAATTTCTCAGGTTTAGCACGTGTCTGGCCCCAATGGTAGGTGCTCAAGAAACAGTCATTGAATGAATGAACGAGTGAATGAAAAGCTCTCTGAGTGAAGAATTCACCTTGTTTTATTTTGACGAGTAACAACTGGCCCCAGTGAAAGTCTCACTTTTGAAAAGAAAGCCTGCAAAGAATATAAAAGCTTTCTAAGCCCGGAGCAAGCTCACAATGGGATTTAAAGTGAGGAAAGCAAAACACAAAGCCATATCTGGAGAATGATCCCAATCTTTTTTGTCTTTGATAAATGAGACACCTACAGATTTGGAATCACATTGAAATATATTTAAATGTAATTTCCTAATGGAGTTTGTTCTTGTTTCAGTGTTAAATGTATGCAAAGTGAAACGTGTTAATAATGTTTCATTCTGCATGGTAAGAATGTGTGGGGCCCCTACCTCGGGGCATGAGGCTATTTTCAGCTCTAGACAGGGAGGTCTAGGAGGCAGGGATGCTATCCATCTACTGGTGTGTCTGCAGCCCCAGCACAGGGCCAGGCACAAGGCAGGCGATTGGCAAGTACCGAATGCATGAATGAATGGTGAAAAATGTGCCTTTGTGTGGAACAAAGACAAGACGGAAGCAGCACCTCCCTGCACCTGCTCACCGTGCCAGGCAAAGCGAAGTAAGCAGGTGTAACATCTGGACCAGCTACTTGATGGTGGCTCCCTGCCTAAGTCTGCCAGCCTTGGGTGGGAGAAGCCGACAGTGGATTCTGCATCACCCCCCTCCTCCCTCTAGCTCACCCACTGTAGACAGCCATTAGGTCTGTCTCCCCAGCCATTGTCCCAGCAGGCTTTCAGATCACAGACAGGTCCTCCAAGATCTCAGATATGTGTGGTGACGGTCAAAGTGCTTTCCTGGCATTCCTATCCCAGGCCCCAGACCTAGAGAGGAATGTTCCGTCCTACCGCCGTACTGGCCCACTTTACTCCTACACTGGGGGCAACCGCCATTTCTGACCAGCCCATCTTGGGGCTGTTCTCTCTTCTACTTCTGGCCAGGGCTGCAGCCTCAGAGTTCAAAGTGCTCCTTTCTCCAGGGAAGAGCATGACCACAGGTCCCAGATATGTGTCTCGTGTCCAGCCCCTTCTCCCAGCTTTGTGGAGCAAACTGGAGTGAGCCATGTTTTCCTGGGTTGCTTTTTGTTTGTTTGTTTGCTTCGTTTTGTTTTGTTTTGCTAACCACAGATGAAGCAGGCTGTTCCTCACTGGGAGAGGCCATCCGATTCCTAGGGGAAAGGGCTGGTTCTTTCTGAAGCAGGTGTGTTGGGTGAAGGCTGGACTGTATTAAATAGGAGAGGAACTAAGAGACGGGAGGCCATTCAGGGCACAGTGAACAATGTCAGGAAGCCGGTCTGGCTTGCAGAGGGGGTGTGGACTGGGGATAAAATGGGGAGCGAATTTGGAGAAGTCGGTGGAGGGGAGGGTTGGTAGTCAAGAGTTTGGATGCCAGGGTGAGGAACCGCGATGCTCCCCAAGCCCCTGGGACCCAGCTGTGAGTGTGGGCTCTGCGGACGCGTGCCAGGCGTAATTGCCCAGAACAGAGGCTCCTCCCTGAGCTGGCTTCTCTCAAGCAATGACAGTCACCAAGCAATCGCAGTTTGGCAGTTCAAATTCTTGTAGCTGTTCTAAGTCATTCCCCTCCAGGCAGGAGGGGACTGCAGCATAGTGAAAGCAATCCATCATGCTCAGAGCCTTCTGTCTCCCCCGGACCACTCACTTCCAGTCAGTGCCATCACAAGCCCTTTCTGCACTCAGCTTGTCCCAGGGAGCTAGCTATGCTGGAGGAGCAAGGGACCTGCTCACAGCTAGAGCCCTCCCTTCCTTCCAGACTCCACTGATGCCCCAGGGCATTGGTCCTCTTTTCCATCACAATAACCCCTTCCAGGAATGTAGGGCTGCAGCTTTCCCAAGGCGATGCTGGCCTTACCCAGCTGTACCCGAAGGACATCCCACCCCCTGGCTCTGCTGCCACCTGCCTTTCAGACCTTGGCTAAGGCATCATCTGCTCGGGCTGTGGTATTCCATTCTCTGTCTTTTTTTCTGTGGGTGAATATTGTCTTCCCAGAAATGATATGGGCTCCCTGAGGGCACAACCACATTCCTCACGGTCCCTGGCACTCCCTGAACTTTCTGTCCGTCACCTAAGCATCACCTAAAAGCTTGCTTACCACCATCACTCACCAATGGCAGAGCAGGGCTTATCAGAGGCTCAGCTGGCAGCAAAGGGAGGAAGGCTTTGCATCCAGAAAATGAGCCCAGGGTACCAGGCATATGCGCCTTGCTCTTACGTGAGTTTTGTCTTCTCTGCTGTATTCTGAGAGTGTAATTCTGAGTAGGTGGTAAGGGTCAGCTTTCTCTGCAGGGGTAGGTGGAGATTTGCCTAAGGAAATGTCACTCCCATTCTCAGCTGCCCAGGGCAGAAGAGCATCCTCAAAGCATCAGCTAGACCTGTGTGGGTGAAAGGGAGAACTAAACCTCTGTGATTTGTCCTGAGCGCTGAGAACACGCAGTATCCCTATAGCAGCTCTTATTCATGGAGATGGATGATTCTAACAGGAACCAGAAAAAAGGTGTGCCTGCAGCACACATGCTAAAGATGAGCTTGTGCTTTTCATGCCAGGCATCTGGCCTTGCAGTCTTCTTAGTGTCTGTTTCCCTTCTGCCAAGCGGTTATAGGTACCCACGCCTGAGGACTTCGGCAAGAATCTGCATCCATCCATGGGTCAGAGCACCACAGAGGATGCAGTGCCCTCAGAGGCTCTCAGGGGGATGGGGGCAGTAACAGCAATGGACACAGTCAGAGATGGCACTGCTGACCCCTGCTTATAGGGGCCACAGACTGTGTCCTAGAGGAGCATTTGCAATTCAGTTGCTGGTCTGAGGGTTTTGTTTGTTTAGTGTTTACATGATGTTATGTAATGTCATACTGAGAAACACATCCCTTCTTTTTCCCTTCCTTTATTGTTCTCTATAATCCCTTGGCCCAACTCTTTCTATGTTTCAAGCTGAAAACATTGTCTGCACAACACTAACTTAGGACATTTTCCCTTTATTGTTGCAAGTCAGATTTTGTACTTTATTACTCCCTGCTCCTGCCACCCAAGACCCAAAGTTCAGTCTGTCACTGTCCCCTTTATGCAAAACAGCTCCCCTCTGAAGAGAACCACTATAGACCCTCTCCCTGGCCCTTCACCATTCCTTTCCCAGGCACGTTGCTGAGCAGACATCCTGCCATTCTGGATCTGAAGTTCCCGCATCGAATGAGCTTTCCGGACTCCAGCCCCCGCAAAGTCCCATCTTCATCTTCCTCCTTCATCCCACGGCACCAGCCCACGGCAGCCAATTACACCTCGCCCAGCATCAGTTCACCCAACGCTGCAGGTTCCTAGAGCTTCTCCCTCGGGCCCAATTCCTGCCCCTTTTACCTTCACAGTAAGGTGTCTTATTTAATATAGAAAGAAAAGGAGATGCAGCCACATAATGAA